TGGGACAGTCGCAGTAGGACACTGGAGAAGCACGCAGCTGACAACAGGGTTGGGTTTCGGGTTGTACAGGGCGACAAATGACACAGCTTTGTCACTGTAAACAGCAGTTTTGTTGGTCTCTGTAAATTCTGGGGGAAGCTCATTTTTGAAGAGGGAGAACCCGGCCTTCCAGTACTCGACTGCAGCGTTGCAGTCCTTCTTGCCGTCAGCAACAGGGTAGTAAGCAAATGTGCCAGTGAGCTTCCCGGCTTGAGTAGTCTCATCGGAATCCGTCTGGACACAAAAAGAGGAAAAAAAAGAAACACAGTGACGGTGCAGTTTCGCGCACCGAAATAACCTAGAACATTGAGACGCTCCACACCAACAATGCAGCGAACGAAATTCACCCCTGTAACTTTGGGGCAAATCTCCCCCCACAGAGCTTCAGGGTCCACTGTAACAGCCCTTTCAACAGTTTTTTCCGGCAGAACTTGCGTGGCTATTGACGCTTCTTTAAATTCAGCAAGCCCTGCGGCCGTCCTCAGCCCGTTCATCGCCTCCAGGCAGTCCAATTTTTCTGGGAAAATTTCACAAAAGATACTGGAATGCAAATAAAGTGATAAAATTAGGATTTCATTTCTGACATGAACGCAAACGTGCAAGAAAGTCCTCACGCGCTTCTGGAGTAGCAGCTTTTTGTTGAGCGATTGTCTGGTTGAAGAGCAGTGGCACAGAAACGAGGGAGAAGAAAGCGACGCGAGCCATTTTCAACAACAAGTGAGATTAGTTCAAAAACACGGAGAAAGTTTCTTCGAGGTTCACATGAGGGCGCTGGCGACATCTTAGTGAGACAGCTAGGTTCAAGCTCACAGCGCCCGCCATGCCCCACTTGCTCCTCGCGAATGGCCGCTCGGCTTCCTCTACAGCATTTTGCCAATATTTCGAAGCAGAACAGCAAAAAAATTCTTTTAAAAAATGAAAAATTATCTAAATGTGCTAAAAGACCATGCTTGTGACAAAGACATGCAGCCTTTTCTCCCTCCACAGTGCAGCTGTTCTGCTCTCCATGAGGATCTGCGTAACGGCACATTGCATTGGAGGCCTGATTTATCGGAAGAACAGCTTATGAACACATTCCATAATGGGGCGGATGAGCTAGCTAGCGCATTGCGCTATTAATTAGCCTTCAAGTTATGCATGTGTGTAGGGCTTCAGACATGACATCTTGGTGCCCAAAGCAGGGCAGCACATTGCCAGTTTCAGTGAGGTCGTACACAATGTACTGCAGAGCAAGTCGTTCCTTCTCAAATGTCGCAAACAAACAGTCATAAACAAGAACTTGGCTTATTAGATAAACATTTTTTGGATGGCAGATTTTTTTCAAACGCGCCTGCTGGCATTGTTACGACATGCCGAGACCCTAGAGGGTTGCAGAGCCTTCTGTGCAATTCAGTGAAAAATACTAGACGCTAGGAAGGGCAGTTTGCATCTCTTGCCGTTATGGTATTGTATCAGATGTGCATATGAGAAAGCTTACCCCCCGCTCTGTCACTCGCCGCCTTGCGTGCAACCTGCTCGCGTCTTTCGAATCCAGAGAAGCCGCATCGGAACGCAAATGCTGAAATACGTTCTGCCGAGCCGCAGCGGTTACAAGGAGCTGAAATCTTTGAAACTTCTATTTTTTTTCCCTGTCAGATGAGGCAAGAAACAGGAGGTGAAGACGACTAGGCTAAAAGTAACGTCCAGCGTAGGTAGACGTGCCCGATGATGGATCATCCGGTGGTGTGCGCAGATGAACTCTGATATTGGAATGTCTTTCAGCAAACAAGTCGCAGTGCTGACAGACTCAATAGATGGAAAAAGTTTCAGATGTGGCCGATTCCCTTCCAAGACAGGTGGTCTTCGCGGCTTTGCGCTGGGGTGGCTCATCCCTTGCCAAGGGAGCTTAATATGCAGTCTGGGAGAACTATGCACCTTTCAAGTGTTCTGATCCACCTAAGGAGGAGTTAAAACGGGGAACCATATAGGAGTCGTACGTAGCTGTGTAGAATCGCCTGGAATGCATGTTCTTCAGTCTACTACCGTATCAGAGAACAAAAAAACATTGCAAAGAACGAATTTTACTCTTGTGCTGAACTTCAAACAGTCAAAATTCGAGCCTAAACGACTGTTCTTCAGAAACCAACGGGAAAGGCACCCTTTTTTGCCAAAAATTGAGGGGAAGGGATGGGGCAAGGGACGAACAAACTATTGATCGGGCCTTCTTCCTTTGGCGTCTCGCTACGTGAAGCTGCCGACATAGGATACTCTTCTACAGCATTGCATTCACAATATCTAATACCTATCGCATGAAAAATCTTCTGTCACTCTTCTTCCCTGCAAATCCAGACACAGCACAAAAAATACTATCTTTTCCCTCCATTGGAAAAACCGCTACATACAAAAGATAGTCATGCAAGGCTGTCGATGCAGTTTGGGCCATATGCAGCCAGCTCCGTGGTCTTCCCTTGTATTCCCACTTGAATGGTGCCGTCCCAGTAGTGAACGCCTCCGGGTTCATCACAAATGTAACGGCCAAGGTAAGTTCCTCTTCACTGTGAAGTCCTTTTAGCGTCCGCCCGTCGTGGCGTCTTGAGAGGCCCGGGGCAGCCAACTTTTTTCCTTCTGTGCTGCTGAAAAAGGTGCCGCTGTTACAGGGCTTGCTTTGGGGTTATACAGAGCGACAAAGGAAGTGGCCTTGATGCTGTGCAGCTCAGGATTGTCCGATACTCTGTAGTTTGAGGGCAGCGTGTTGCTGAAGAACGAAACCAGTCCTTCCATTACTGCCCTGCCGTGTTGCAGTCATTCTCGCCGGCGTAGCACTAGAACTTGCGATAGCAATGAGCTCATGACGCGGCTTACCCCTGCTATTTTTGGGGGTATTTCGCTTAAAAGGATAGCTGCCTTTATCTTTCTTCCAGTATCAGGGGGGTTCGGAAGCACACGTGTTTCTTCAGATGACTGTATGAACTGAGCGAGTCACGCAGCTGTCTTCGCCTAGTTCAAACCGTCTAAGCAGTTAGGCGTTTCGCGAGAGAAACTCCGGCGCACACAAAAGGTGTCTGAAATATGAAATAGCAAAAGCGTTGCAGGGCGAACGGCACTTCTGGATGAACAATGCTTCTGCACAACATGCTCTTCTGCTGTTCCCGTTGTTCCAGGACTCGCGGTCATGTGTTCATAAAGCACAAGCACGAGGACAAAGGGAGCAAAAACAAGGCCAAGAATCCCTTAAAAATAATATAATAGGCAGAAAACAGATTAAGAAAAGATATTTGAGGAAACTTAGTGAACTTTATATCCGTGATAACAGAGCTAACGACAGACTTCGGCTTTTCGTGATCTTTCCGGGATGCCATACGGCCTGTGTTGCTCTGGGTTGCCGGATTACCAGCTGAAAATTTCCGCAATCCAGCACATGTTCAGCGCAAAACAAAGTTCTCACAAGGTACTGTTCGCCAACATTGACTGCATTGCTCACGTGCTCTCTTCAATCCCCGCACCAGAGGATGAAAAACAACGCAGTGCGCAAATGCTCCTCAACACTGCCTTATACACAAAGCGGTCTAAATATAGGCCAACACAAACGTTCAACACAAACTATCTATAATTATCTCTAGTGGCTGAACACCCCAAGATAGAATAAGGCAAGCCGGTCGAGAAAAAGGTTACTAAAAAAGTGAGTTTCCTGTCCCCGTGAAAGCAGTAGCTGTTCCTACACTAAGCGGGTTTGAAGCTGACTGCGATCGTTGAACCAAAGCACTCAGCTCCGCGGCCTTGTCAACAGCCAGCCAGCCCCAAGTGTTGGCTGTGCGGGTTACTACCCCATGGGCGCATTCTCCTCCACAATAATCGTGTTCTTACTGGAAATCACGATCTCGCTATGAGCAGCTGCCGGATGCAATAGTAATTGAAAATCTCAATAGGTGCCTCATTCGGTGGTATATTCCTCGTTTCGACTAAACCTGCTTAGACCAACCTAGCTCAACTTCATTAATCGAAAATAATCGAAGCATGCTGGATGTAATTGAAGATGTAATGAGGACCAAACTGTAAATTTTTAACCTCCTACGCAAATCAACCTCTGAGCACTGGTCTGAACCGTTTCTTCGGGCTATTGGCTAATTATTATTGAATAATCTATCGACTCACGTACACTACTAGTAGTGGCTCGCAACACACGTCTGATTGACATATGAACTATCACAGCGGCCTTAAAAATTGGTTGGTGCCTCAATCGTCCGGTTCAGGCGGGGGAAAGCTAGCGTTTCCTTCAAACAAACGACCACAGTTGCATTGTAAACTTCACTGGCCAAGGCGACAGAAGAGTTTTCTTTCGCAGTGGTTGCATACAAACGTTACTCATGCGCCACTTCTAGTGCGTGAAACAAGCCCTTCGGAAATAGCCTGTGGCTGCTTGGAGTCTAATTATTCGCTCCCAAACATTTGTTTGCCTAATTCAGCTAAAGAAGCCTCAAAGCACTATAGGTTCTCCAGAAGAAGGCGGCACGGACAGCCATTCGGTTGTTGCTTCATGCCGATCACCATAAAATCCCCTACACATAGAAAATAATGCTGGGCATCACAAGACGTGCGACCCTCTGCTGCAACGGATCATAAAATGTCTTCCGTTTTCTTTCCCTCGAAATAGATAGAAACAAGAATACCGTTTTGATCTCATCGCGTCCTCGAAGGGAACTCATCTGTCCTCCAAGGTTCCATTAAGATACACTTGTTCTGTCGTGTCTACTGCTACAGCCCTCAAAAGCCAACGAACTTCTAGAAAAGAGTGAATACGGCGATGGCCATCGCAGAAACAAGAGCGACTGAAGGGCCAACTGAGGAAACTCCGCTCTTGTTGCCAGATATCGCCTCCACGATTTTCTTCCATTCGTCTTCTCTGCGAAAAAATCACGGGAGAGACATAGCCGACGACTATTTCAAACAATGACAACGCCAGAGTGCAACTCAAAACGGACGTTAAGGCAGCTCGGAAGGTTATACATAACTGGTGACTGTAACAAATTTGTACTTGAATGGGGCTGTGTTTTCTTCCAAGGCAGCGGGGTTCGTCAAGCAAATGACGGCTTCGACTGTGGTGGAGCCAGATGAGAGTCTGCGTCCACCAGGGACGCCAGGGACAGTCGCAGTAGGACACTGGAGAAGCACGCAGCTGACAACAGGGTTGGGTTTCGGGTTGTACAGGGCGACAAATGACACAGCTTTGTCACTGTAAACAGCAGTTTTGTTGGTCTC